TATATTTTTTTTTTTATAGTCATAAACCTCAGTAATTTAAATATTTATTTTGCTATGAAAAGAAAACATCCCATTGCCCAAGGACTGGAACACTATTAAGTGATGACTCAAGTGAAAGGATAAACCATTTTTTTACCAGTTGAAATGAAGCATCCATTTAGCAAAATGAATCACCAATTTACTCAAATGAATCAGACTAGAGAGAGAGGATTTTTTAGGAGAGCGTGCAATGCAATGTGACAAATGACAGCATTTTGCCACGCTTCCCAACTATGTGATGGGGATCAAAACAGCTTGTTATTGGAAAACCTGCTCTATTTTGAAAACTGAGTGACTGTCATATCTCCCCAAGAGTGCTGCGCGTGTGTAACTCCAGCAGACCTGAGCGATGAGGGCTTTGTGCTTCTTCATGAGCTCGTTGAGATCCTCCTGGTCTTCCTCCAGCCTCTTCATCAGGTCCGTCCTCTCGTAGCGGAGCTGAGACAGCTGCTCATCCACCTGAGACAACAGACAGAGAGGCACTGAGATAAACCTGAGATCAGCCCTTTGCTCCTCTCATTTCATGTCTCGGGGCCTCACCAGGCTCTTCTGCTTGCAGATGCTCTCCAGTTCGATCTGAGCGTTTTCCAGCTCTGCAGCCAGAGTCTTCTGTGCGCTTTCAGCCTCCAGCCGTCTGGCTTCACTGTCCTCCAGCTAGAACACACATAGACAAAAGTCAAATAAAGGTAACTACAGAAATATAGACCACTAACAATATTAGCGTAAATCCTTATTATTTTTAGATGACTTTGTATTGACAAAACTAACTATGCAAACACACACTACCATTAAAAATCTAGGAATAATTAAGTATTTTTATTGTTTTTGAAAGAAGTTTCTTCTACTCAGCAAGCCTGCATTTATTTGACAAAAAATACAGTAAAAATAGGAATATTGTTAAATATTATTATATTATAAAATAACTGCTTTCTATTTGAATATATGTTAAAATGTAATTTATTCCTGTGATTCAGTGCTGAATTTTCAGCATCATTACTCCAGTCTTCAGAGTCATATGATCCTTCAGAAATCATTCTAATATGCTGATTTGCTGCTCAAGAGAAATTTCTTGTTATCAATGTTGAAAACAGCATTATTATTATTTTTTATTTTTGGTCAGTTTAAGCCATCTACGACCAGCAAACCATCTTAGGCTGCACCATGCACAATAAGATCAGCAACGTGTATTAAAACATTATTTATAATATTTAATGAATAGCTAGAACACTACTTAAAATGTACTGGGCAAATAAGGCTAATGCCACAAAAATACTACTATATTTTACTGCAGCAAGGGGTTAACGGTGGGACTTTTGAAGACCGATAATGCAAAGCTGTATAAATCGTGTGAGCCGTGCTGTGTGGATGATGGGATGGCAGTGACACCTGGCAGCACAGTCTCTCCAGCTGCTTCTTGGCACCGGGGTCATGACCCTGCCCAGGCTGTTCAACGGTGGACAGCAGCAGCTGGGCATCACTGAGCAGGGCATGTGTGCGCTTCAGGTCCCGCTTCAGCCTCTTCTCCACGTCAAAGTCTCTGTGGCCCACCTGAGACCAGAGAGAGATCTATACATCACACTGAAGCACAAACAGAAAGACTTTACTGTACACTCACATCACGGGAGAGAGGCAGGCATTTCTGGATAAAGGTGGTGACTTTTACACCATAGGAACTGAGTAATGATGCTGGCCACGTGAACACAGAGACATACAAACTCCTGCCTGTGGAAAACTGAGTAAAACCCATAAGCTCAGTAAATCATTTTGGCTTTCAATATGAGCTGATTTGTGATGGTAAAAAAAAAAAAGTAAATAAATAAATAAAATAATAAAAATAAATAAATAATAAAATTAATTAAAATTAAAATTAAAAATTAAAAATTAAATTAAATTAAATAAAAATTAAAAATAAAATAAAATAAAATAAAATAATATTATATTATATTAAAGATTACCAGGACGGACATCATGCACAATAAGACCAGCAACATGACTAATTATAATTATTAAATTGCTATATTTACTAAATATTATATTAATGGAACATCCTTATATTATATTACATTATATTACATTAATATAATGTAATAATTTTAGATACAGAAACAAACATCATCAGTTTGAGTAACATGCATTAAAAACATTATTCATTAAATTTCATGAATGGCTAGATCATTACTTGAAATCTCAGGTAATGCTCAAGGAAATAGGTGATATGGTTGGAAAGGTTGGGTTGGCAGTGAATGCACATGTCCTGGAAAAATCAAAACCAGACGCTTTACACATCCTCTTACTCAATATGAAACTCATTTTGAGCAGCAGTGTTTACGTGCAGCTCGGGTCATAAACCGTGGTCGTTTTTAACAGCAGCAGATGAGTAGCTTCATCATATCGATCTCGGTAGTGATCACGCTTCCAGAGCACCGTCACATTAGAGAGCTCACGACGGCCCGAGGGCAGGACATTCAGGTCGAATGTGTGTACACTGTACAGTATCTCTAAAGGACCCTCTCAGTGTAGCCACAAGCTGTTAGCTAAGTTTAGCACAGGACACATGAGCGAGAGCATGTCTAATGCTAAAAAGATCCTCTATAACTACTACAACAGAGTACAAAGTAATATAGTCCAGCAAACATGCCAAAAGCATTATGTAAAGGTTGCGTAAATGTTATGAACATTAAATAATGTAAATAATAATGAAATTCCCTTTTGATATTTATATCTGATAAAAGTTCTCACAATGTTCAAACACAACATTTTTATATCTGGTATGTTCTGAGAGCTGTTAAAAGAATAAATAAAGGAACATTTTTCTATTCTATTCTATTTACTTCTTTTTATTTATTTAAAAAAAGAATAACTTGATACTCTAACACTAGCGTTCACTATTCTATTTCTATTTTACTTTTAATTCTTTTTATTATAAAAAACCTTGCTACGTGATATATATATATATATTACATATTTGTGCTGTCAAATCGATTAATCGCATCCAATATAAAAGTTTGTTTACATAATATTATGTGCGTGTATTGTGTAAATTTATATGCATATATAAATACACACACATACAGTGGGTACGGAAAGTATTCAGACCCCCTTAAATTTTTCACTCTTTGTTATATTGCAGCCATTTGC